CCATCCCACCAGGTGGGGGGAGGTGAGTGAGTGGCTGTATGGTGCTTAGTTGCTGGCTGGGGGTAAACCACGACACCCCCCCTTCAATGCGAAAACAAAGCCTAATTCCTTTCAGAATGAAGGTACAAACAAAAAAATCCTTCAGTATCAATGATGTTTCATAACAACTCAAAAATGATATGTACAAGAAACATTTTATTTCATAGCTATTAATGTTTTCAAAGCTTTGCATTATCTCACAAGACTATCCTTTGGAAGAAGAATAGCAGCAATAAACATTTAATGTTTTGATATTTTAATAATGTTGAAATGATTAATGTAATGCATTTGCTAGTGGTATAATGCACATTGTTCTTTCAGTATGTGCAGCAGTTACACAGTAATAACACAAATACCTGGCTTAAACTTTAAAAATTTAACTACCTCCATTTCTGAGCACCTAGTTTGACACATCTATTAGTACATTAATCTTCAGAGCATGACACATTTTAAAATTCAGGTTTGGGGGTCAAGTCAAAGGTCCCTCAGAAAAGGGCTGAAGTAGCTGAAAGACACTAATAATTTTGAAAATTCTTCAGCAGCAAGACAGGGCATTGAAGGATTTTTTTGTAGTAGTAGTAGTTTAGGACCAGGGAAATATATAAAAAAGCAATATTAGCTTGTATTTTGCAGACATTTGCTGGAGAATCCCAAGCAATGAGAACTGCCTCTCTCAGAACAGGAAAAGCAGTTTTCCTGCTCTAGTGCTTATAATTATCATGGCTACCATAAAAATGTAGCTGCTTGTTATGGTAATTGTGACACAGCTATAAATGCAATAGAACCTTTCCAAAAGTTACTGTTCCACTGTGAATTGTTCTCAGTGGATCTCTTGAAACAAAGATGTGCCATCTGAGCTGACTGGCTTTCAATAAAACATGAAAATGCAGTTATACCTTCCAAACAAGCACTGCAATAAAAAATATAACCTTTATCTCTGCAAAGTCAGTTAACTAAAGGAAACTTTCATACCTGTGACTTTCCTAGTTTTTCACTGAATGTTTCAGCCACCCCTCCAGGAAAAATTGAGTAGGCTTTACTTGTTTTGTGGCTTCTTTAAAACACTGGCAGTTTTATGTGGAGGGAGTAAAAAAAAAAAAACCAAAAAACCCAACAAACATATCCTGCCTGTTAAATTATACCAACAAATTTTGTTTAATCTGCCAAAAATATGTTGTTTACATCTTCTTCCTTAGTGGAGGACACTCATACATTTAAGGACCACAATCTGGATCCTCTTTCAAGGAGTATTCCTTTAAAGGGTGGAGGAGGAAAATTCCTGTCCATTCAAGATACCACGGATGGTAATGGATGGAAAGAATTTAGTTTTTGTTTTATTCTTAAAGCACATCCAGAACCTCCCTCAACCCTTTTATCTGCAAGTTGTGAGACAGTAGGATTCAACTTGCCTTCTGCCACCACCACAGCTACCAGTGCAGGAACCCCTGGGGTTAGAAAGGTGACCCTGTTTAGCAGAGCATGAACGATTGCTTCCACAGGCTTCCTCTGTCATTCAGGAGACTCCAAGGCCAGTTCCTGACCTCAGCCTGCTTCTCTGATGTTACATCCCTCCTCAGGTCTTCGCTTCTCTGAATAGGGAGAGGCACGCAAAACCATGCTTAGGATTTTACAAGATGGGCTCTTCCCAATTCTCTGATTTTTTTTGGACCTTTATATGACACCTGAACACTCATGCTTTTTCACCAGTGGCTGAACTATGCAATTTAAGTAATTTCAAGCCTTAATAACAATAATTACTAATAGTGCCTTGCACCTACTGACGCTGAAGTTCATTACAAGCCATACCAAAAGCCATAGCCTTTTCTAGGGCTACGTCTCTAGCTGGAGGAAATGGAAAGACTTCTTTCAACTGTAATAATCTTCCAGTGATTTTAATCAGCTGAAGACAGGAGTTTTGATTCAGATAATGACACGATGAGTCATTGCTTGAGTTGCACTCTGCATCATCCAGGAATTTTTTATTAGATGAAGCCCACCTTTACTGGACATGTTAAAATAGCAAGAATGACAATATTCTTGCAATATTTCAGAATGATCCTCCTTAACTTATCCCCATAAAGTGTTTCAATCACTCTCTAAAGCTGTTGCCCAGACAACACTGACCTAGCTCAGAAGCACTTTCTGGCAGTATCCTTTTAATTTATACCAACAAGAGCCATAAGCAATCATAATATTTACACAAGATTACATCTTACATGTGTGGAAGAGGAATGACCAAGTGGAGTCCTATTATGTTGTGTATGTCCTTTCCTTTTCTCTAGATATGACAGCATGTGGAACAGGAAGAAACTTGTGTACAACTTTGGAAACGGCATCTAAAACTGGCTGTCTAAAGAGAGGTTGTTAAATCTACATTTTGACACCTAAATAAATTACACAATTCAGAAACACTAAGACTCCAGCAACTCTGAAGGAAGAGGTAATTCATCTTTCAGATGAGAGGCAAATTCAGGCCCTGATCATTTATGATCGTTAATCCTGAGCACAGTAATGTTATTTACCTGTATGTTCTAAATAAATTCTAGTACTATTAATCTTTCTGTGTACTTTCTGCTTGCCTGAGTTTTTCTGGCAGTTTCGACCAAAAATATTATTCATCAGTTAGGGTCTGATTTTGAAACCCTGATGTATCTATCCAAAAGTACTCTCACTGATTTGGTTTTAAGCTACTCGCATGTCAAATGTTTACAACCACACACTTGGACCATCAGAATTGTAAACTTTTGTATAGTGTTTTACCATATGTTTCTAATTAGAAGCAGTTTCATATATAAGGAGGGACTATATACTAATGGTAGATACTGTGATCCAGTATAATTGTAATCATCCGATCTTCAATTATATGTAAAGCCGTATTATCTAAAAAGGGTCATAGTCCTATGACATCTATTAATTATAAAGATATTCCCCAGACTACCACAAATAATTATGTGTCTGCTATTACACTGAAATAACAGAGAGTGTGCCTTACAAGCAGTCATCTGGATTTGTTGGGCTGTGTGTTGCTTGAGGTGCTATATATGTATATATTGCTAAACAACAACGGATATTTTCAGAAAGAGGTAGTCCTTATAATGAAGAGTAGGGTTTGAGTCAGTGGAGAGTTTTCTTATTAAAGAGGGCAAATTTTTAAACAAATATGCAAGAGTCTTTTTCTCACATTCAAGCTACGTTTTGCTGAACAAAATGTATATCATGACTGAGCTGTTATGAAGTTTTCTAGCTTTATTTTAAGATGCTTACTTCAACTATAGCATCTTTGACTACTTACAGAAAGCTCACTTCTCTAAGCACTTCTGATCTGTGGCATTTTAAATAATTAAATTGTCTTCGTTATAGTGTAATTAATTCATCTTGGTTTTAATTAGATTCCCTTGAGGTTTTTTTTTTTTAATTTTAATTACTTTGCAACTTGAGGAAAGCCTCATCATGAACATTCATCTGAAATCTCTGATGTGTTTAATAATATGAGGCAAAAAATATCTGTCGGGGAAAATCTCATCAAATTATATTTACAGGCATTCTTATATCTTTCAGTAAGGTTAATATCAAGCAGCTTACCTTGTCATCCAATTTCCGTGCACTGAATGAAAGTTCAACGTAGTCGTCATTGCCAGACAATTCCTCGGCAATCACCTAAATGGAAAGCTACATTTGAGTTTTGCATGGTGTAATGAAAGGGGAGAAAGATGCCATTTTCCAGCGTGAAGACTGTAGACCCCATTAGGAAACTGAAGTGTGGTACAAGTTCATGTTTCTCTTTGCAATCAGGAAGGGCTAAGAGCATTCAGTGAATACCTTGCTCAGCTGATGGGTGTCACCTTGTTAAGCCTACAAACCTTAATCACTTAGTATCCTGTGACTATGCCTTGTCAATCATCTGTCAATGCACAGACGTCAACATCCACCAGCGATCTCTTTCCTCTGACCACGTACTTTTTTTCCTCAGATAGGACAACAGAGAATTCCACAGTCTCAGTGTCCAAGGGGACAAAAAAGCTATAAAAAAGTTGTATTATTTGGGTCTAAAGCTTAATTATTTTTATGCTGCTTCAGCATCATTTGGCAAGCTAAATGGAAAAAGGAGTGAAGTCACTTGTCATTAGTTGCCATGAAAGGCACATTTACAGTAGGAGAGTTCTCCTGGTACAGTTTTTCTGCAATAGCTACATTGGCAAAACCATTTACTGTAGCCTGAGTCAGAAGAAAGTAACACTAAAATAATGTAGTGTGATTCTTTCAGAAGGCATAAGCTATGCTGATAATGATGCCAGTCACTGTACTGTGCAATGTTCCTAAAAAAAACCAAACCAAACAAAACCAACCAAAATGGCCTTCCTGACTAAGCCATAAAAACGCCTCAGTGAAGAGAAGGTATTAACCAAACGCGGGATATTTCACTGAAAAATGGTCTTTGAAACAAACCACATTACATTCTATGTGACAATTACAAAATCTTTCCCTATTGTAAATGTTCTCTCCAGAGATTAAATTGCCCAAAAGAACCTATTTCCTGGGTGTTTCATACCCACGGCCACACACTTGGCAGCTACATCAGCTCCCCAGCCAGGCTCAGACCGTCTCCACTGCACAGACTCCAGGTCCTTGGGGAGTCGCTGGGACACCCCAACTATTCTTCAAACCGGCTGAAGGCTGCTGAGGTTAGAGCTGCAGTCAGAGCACTGCAGTGTGGGATGCTTTCACTGCCCACATACACAGCTCCCAGTAATTAGCCAGGCTGTCTACAGCCTCAGTAAACTTCAGTATCACTGGTATTTTTTTAAGACCTTTTTTCTTCCTTTGGCAGAAATCAGCTTGGACTCTGCATTGGGCATAACTGGCAGGGTTTTGGTAGCAGGGCTGCAGGGGTGACCTGTGTAGGGAGGCTGTGAACTGCCCTGTGCTGGTCACAGCTGGCTTGGCAGCAGGCGGCAGCTACCAACTGCACCCCAAAACCACCAACCCATCAGAGGGGCATACGGCACCTCTGTGTGAACATATTTAAGAAAGGGTGGCAGCTGCTAGAGGCAGGAGGCACTAAGGAAGGAGCAGTGGGAGGCCTGCGAGGCCACCCCGAAGAAGATCCAGGAGGAGGCATGGAGCAGGGGATGATGTTGGGGACACAGCTGGAGATGCACTCCTGGAACGAGGTGCTCCATGCCAGAGGAGGTACCACCTGCAGGTAAGCCTACACTGGTGCAGGGATGCCCCCAAAGGGACGGTGGCCTGTGTGTAAGAGCTGAGAAAATTAGTAAGAAATGAAGAGCAGCAAAAAAGAAATCACTATGCTCCAATCCTGACCTGTGCCACCCATCACCTCACCAAAGGGACTGAGCATAACATGTAGTGAAGGGAGTGGAGACTATGAAGGGGGCAGGAGACGTGTCTGAACTGAACTTCAGCCCAGGGAAGGGTGAAGAAAGGTGTTTTCCCTAAGAGTTTATCATATTTGTTTCTCAATACCCAGATCAGTAATTAAAAGTTTACGTTAATTGGCAATGAATTAAATTAAGTAAAATTCCCTGAGTCAAGACTATTCTGGCTGTGACACCTCACAGCAGTGAACTGTGGTATTTCCACATGCAAAATATTCACATGCAGCCATGTAGGGACACAGATGCTTAACTGTGCATTGAAGTACCATCACACAGGCACATATGCGGTGTTTCATATGTTTCAGGCAAATGAGAGCCAACTGGAAATTTGGCCCGTAGAGTCTGACACATTTCTCCTCCATGTAGTCTGATGGTTTAAAGGATCATAAGCTGTTTATGACCAACAGTGCTCGGGGATTTGCACAGCAAGTTTCACAAATTTTTAACTGAAAATAATGAACCCTCTCTTACAAAGGTTGACTGACTTCTAACTGGAGAAGCTGAACAATGTTCTGTTTTCATACCACAGCCATATAAATAAAATCGTATTGATGAGACGTTACACAGCCAAAGGGCTAACAAAATTCCAGCAAAACATGCTGAGACACGAACTTTCAAAATCCTATGAAAAACTCATAATTCAGTATGCTGAACAAGTTAGGAAACCAGTATTTGTAACTTCCATACTTGACAGACACCTGGTATGTCCCCAGGTCCAGAAATAACATTTTGACTTATTCTGTTGAGACAGCAAACTTTTCACACAGTAATTTTTGTCTAAGTTCAGTTTTCTCCCATTCAAGTAAAGTCGACTTGCTCTTTAGTACTACTGGCCAGAAGCCAAAGCAAGTAACTAAGGTCCATATTTCATGGTTATCATCCAGTGTTAGGCCAGCAGGGACTATTAACTCATTTTCTCTCATCTTCTGTATATCACAGAGCATTTATTTTTGCCAGACCACACTAGTAACAAGCCTAACAATTTTAGTTGAACTAGAGCATTTGTGTTTTCACAAGACTAAACTCTGTGTCCCTCATAGAACAGGAGGGGGGGTCCAGAACACCACGGGGATGGACGAGATGAAGTATGCCCAGATAATCCCAGCAGACAAACCACACCAAGTTATTTAGGGAGCAAAACTCTCTCCTGGTTCTATTCAGCCAGATGAGCAGGGAATCCCTTTCCAACCCCAGACCAAAAATGAGTTTACCTTATGCATTTAAGCAAATCCCTTCCCAGAAGACATCTAAGAAAGAAAATTCCCTGGGCTCTCAGAAAGCATTATTTCTCACAATCTGCTGTCTCTTCTGTGGCTGAAGGCAGAAAAAAAATCCAAACAATCAAGCCAAAAGAAACCCATCTGGCTAATTGCACATAAAGCAAAAAAATCCTTCTCAACCCCATGAGGCAACAGAGCAGAGGTCCCCAAAGCAGAATATTTTATTATAGTCTTTGTCTTAATGCAGAGCTGCAAATGTCACAAGCATGCTAGGTTCAGTGCAGACAAGCTTGATCTCCCAAACAAGCCAGCAAAGAGAAAGATGAAAGAGAGGTAATACATTGATTTGCAGATTTCAGGATACACATGGGGCTATAACTATCCAGTCCGTAATTGCATTACAACACAGCTAAAATACCTAATCTCATCAAGCTTCTGCATTTGGTGTTGCTGGGTGCGTGTGTGTGTTTTCTGAGTTGGTTTGGTTTTTGGTTTTTTTTTAGAAACTGGAAAAAGCCAAGGGCTGAGAAACATCAGACTCCTTTGTGTGTCAAAGCAGGTCAAAATTAATTTCTGAAGGTTCTAGATCTTCAACTACAAGTAATCAAACAGCACAACTTTCTTGTTGTCATCAAAGTACCTTAGTAGTAAATATGGTGGCTTTTGTACAAATCGTACATTATTTGTTGCCATTTCCTTACAACAAGCATTTGTCAGAAACAGTACAAGTCATCTGATAAATAAACAATTTAAATACATTTCTCAGTCAAGGGTTGTTCTGGTGACTTAGGAGGATGCTTTTAGGGAGAATTAGTCACATTAGATATTTCTAAATAACAGGAAAATAAGAGTGTATTTAAGACTGACTTACTGTTATGGATGACTTCCCTGCTGTGTTCCCATGTTTGAGTAAGGACTTGGAGAGTTTCCTCTGAGAAACAATCTGCACAAAAATAAAAACAAAGGGAAAAAATTAGAATCTGTAGTAAATACGTGGCTTATTGTGATTTCATTTTTATGTTGCCTTTTTTTGGTATCAAGATAATGTCTTAATCCATGATTAGAGTTAGTACAGTAAGACCACAACTGAGAAGAAAGGTTCCCTGGGAAGCCTGCAGACAGGATGCAATGGAAGGACAAGCAGAATGGGAAGAACACAATTCTCCGAGTTGGACAGAATAGTGGAAACCACATCTTGGACTTTCCTTAATTATTGCCATGATTGCAACAGCAGGACAAAAGTAAGCTTTAGACTCAAAAGACAGTAAGAGGGGAGCTGTACACAGCAAATCTATCAGAGACGCCTCCAAAACCCATTTATTTTTATGGGAAATTGAAATCTATTTCAAAGAGAAGGCATTTATTTTATTTCAAAATATCTGCAACTCTAAACTCAGGACAGAAGCAAGCAATCTGCCCCATAGTTTTAGTTCCACAATTGTCTCCTTTGCTTACCAGGTAACAGAGCTCCCCTAGAACTCAGCATTGCGAATGAACTTGTCCATTGACCAATTTATAAATGTACTTCAAAAAAATGTTATCAGAGTGGCACTGACAAAAGATGTTATTTCCCATATCAATAATAATTAAATTTCCCTAACAACCTTGAAACATGTAAAACTAGACCAGTAAAAATATTAGAAAAGGAAAAAAACTTACAATAATGCACAATTAGTAAGCTACAGTGATGTCCTACTATATTAGGTCCTTCTCTGTAAAGTTAATGATGTATTAATGAATTTATTTTTTAATTAGAAAACTGCAAAATGTAGACAGATGTAGAGGTAACTCCAAACACAGCTTAAGAATCACAATTAATATTATATTTAATGTGACAGTACTGCAGCAGGATTGTGCTGCGCAGATACTGAGCAAAAGAATTCTGCTCTAGAAAAAGCCCTAACCTCTGGAAAGCGGCTTTTATACTAGAAACAGTCCTTTCCCACATCCATCATTACTTGGACAACTTCATCTGGATGGCTGATCTGTAACACTTCAAATAAAATGATCCACAAATGGATATCTTTAGCAAAATATGTGGAAGTATTAGTTGTAAGAGAAGCAATCATCAAGAGAAAAGAATGGCTCCAGGCCCTTCATTAGAATCCTGGGCATCATACACGTCAGTAATAAACCACATCAGTAGGTAATGGCCAGAGCCAGAGGAGTGTGCAATGCGAATTCATGGGCAGGCAAAAACGATGCTGTGAGACAAGAGTGAATAGTACGTAAATTTTAGCCATGGGGAAACATGTTTGTCCTGCCCATCAATTTGCTGAATTAAACAGGAAAAAAAAGGAGCACCTCAGATTATCCTCAGCTACTGTCATGACAAAGGCAGCAGGACAGAAGCAAGTCTTAAATGGGCTTTAAATGTGAGATAGGAGAGCCATCACAGGGCTGGACAGGACATCCAGAATCACTCTGTCCAGCTTCTTGGTCCTAATGCAGGACTGGTTACACCGGGGTCAGCCATACCTGACAGATGTGTGCCTAATCAGTTCTTAAAGATATCCAGAGGTGGAGGGAAACACCCTCCACTGGCAACTTATTATGGTGTTCATTATCCTTACTGTAACTATATTTTCCTAATAGCTAACTCAATTCTCTGCAGTTTAAGCCCATTATTTCTGTATAATGCACCATGAATAAATAAAACAAACCTTTTCCCTTCCTCTTTCAGGCAATCTTTATATCTGAAGACTAATATCAACTCTCCACAGTCTTCTTCAGACTACAGAACCCAAGTTTGTTCTATCTTTCCTTTTTGACCAAATTTTCTAGCCCTCAAACCATTCTCGCTGCTCTCTGCTGAGACCTCAGGGACTGGTCCGTATCCTACTCTTAGAGTAATGCTCAAAATTGGACATAATACTCCCGGTCCTTCTATGCAAGAAGAGCTTGTGTCTTGCAAGCTATGCTACCCATACACTCCAGAATTGCATTTGACTTAAGAACACCATGATACTGTTAACTAATGTTCATTTTATGACCATTTCAGATTGCCAGCTGTTTCTTACCCTGCATTTTTGCAGCTGGCTATTACTTAAGTGCATAATTTAACATTCGTCCTTTTTGGACTGCCTTCCACAAACCAGCCTGCTGCCATCATCTCACTCACTTTTCCAAATTAACTTTTGGATTTCACCACTAGTATCGGTCAGTGGCAACAACAGACAGGAGTACAGGTAAGATGACCAGTACTTCCAGGATTCAGATGTCCTTTTTCTTCCCTATGATCTTGGAAAGATTATTTGCTCTGACCCCTTAAGTCACTCATACCTCTGTTTTCTTGCCAGCTAAACAGGTTCAAGTACAAATTGTTGCGCTCCTGTGAACTGTGAGGTGCAATTTAAAAAACCTTGTTTGAGATTCTCATATGGAAGGTAATACAGAAATAAAACAGATTATTCTTAATAGATAATTAAACTATGGGTGCTGTACCAACCAGACAATGAATTATGGCAGCTGGGGAACAGGGCCCATTTATCTCTATGACCTCTCCCCCTTCCCCAAGACGCACAGATAACTTTGTAAAATACATTAAGCTCTTCCACTGAAAGGGGTGGGTATTGTGTACCAGAAACCTTTTCAGATATGTTACATATAAATACCCCCCAGTATGAGAGGATGGGAACCTGTCCTTCAGCTAGCCTCCTTTACACACAGCAAGACTTCTCTCCCTGAACTACCCAAATTCGTACAGCCCCCTTTGCTGCTTTGGAAAGCATCCCAGCTTTCAAAAGGCATCAAGCAGACAGAAACCTGAAACTTGGGAGCTCCCATGCAGGTGGCAGATAGGCGGCTCACTGTTCCAGAGAAGATAATTTATTCTGACATTCTCATTAGTAGATCGCATTAATAAGATTCACCCTCTAAGCCATTAGCATCATTGTGACATAGTAGGCACTCTGCATATGTAAATATGTGTGTTTGGGTGCACCCGTTTACCTGTTGTTAATTAAGTGGCCAGTAAAATGAATCTTGCATCTGGCAACAATGTGCCAACATCATTGCCTCAAACTGTAATTAGCAATTTAGGATCTGCAGACTATCGTTGCAATAACTGTCAGGGAATCTATTTTCCTTAGCAGTAAATTGCCCTTTTTGTTTGTGCACTGTACAAACCAGCTCTCATTGGTTGAAAGAACCACTTCTAAAGAAACTGCCATCAATTATGTATCACATTTATTGTTTATGTATCAGTGTGAATCTTCTTCTGAACATTATCATAAAAAGCATTTGCTGACCTGATTGCCAGACAGCAAATCCTAAACAACAATAATTCGAGGGCCTAGAAAGCATTTGTCTAAGTTCAGAGTTACAGAGATAGCTGAACTGGCAAAATGGCTTACAAGAAGGTAATTAACTACAGGTCTTCCATTTGTCAAGAGTCTTTGGTTTGACTCCTGCTTCAAAAACTTGCAATTTAGAACTTCAGAGAAAAAGGTGCTTTGTCCAAAACTGATGTGAAGTGCAGAAAGTAAATGTGTCTCTCCTTTCTAAAACACAGATAGTAGAATACAGTTCAGCACTATTAAACCTCATTACATTTCCAGAACATGTTTCTTCATGAACATTTTATTAGAAGCATAGCCTACCAGTGAACAAATGGATGTAGAAACTTCTGAGATTTAGGAGGTGAGGCTAAGAGACTTAGGAAGTGAAGTTTATTTGCAACTACAGCCCCATATAAACTATCACCCAGTTTTGCTCTGAGACAGCCCATGTCCAAGAAAACATATACTGAATATGTTTGCAAGAGGTAGGAATAGGAACAGACTGTAAAAGCCACTACTCTGTTTTAGAAAGGGAGGATATGCACATGAAGTGATTCCTATTTATCAAATATGCAATTCTCCCAACAGAACATCATCTCAACTAGATTTCTGGGCTGCAGTGCTAAGGGGTATCAGCTCCGTGGCAAGATGGGGGTGGGAAATTCCCTTGAAGATGATCTTAATTTGCCTTATTAAGTACAAGCCCAAATAGGTTAAGGACAGATCTGAACAGATGATCAATATTGCTGGATTCACAAGTTGCCATTTGATCCTATTTCCAATTTAAGATATATAAAAGGTGCTTTGCTTTTTTTTTATTTTAAAAGTATGAACAGATGCAACATTTTGGATAAAAGGACCGAGGCACTGACACCAGCTGTGTACAGTGCATTGCTCAGCAGTCACTCGGAGACAAGGACTCTGATGAAGGTTTACTCTCTCCTATGTCTGAGTTGTGACTAATCAGCACTGTCTAAGATGAGCTGTGAAATATAATGACCTATTTTACCTGGGTTGTTTAAGAACCTTTTAAAATATATTTCTCTACGTGGTCCTTCCTTAACCAAATATAGGGGTAACTTTCAATATTATCATACAGAATTCCCAATGCTTATAAATCAAACTAACAAGAAAATTTCATTATGGCTTTTTAACCTAGTGATTTAGCATTGGCAGGAACAGATAAATCCCATATATCATACTGAGAAATCCTGTTTACATTGACAGCTGGGGCTGGTCCAAGTTCTTTTGACATCATTCACTCAGTTTTGCAAGATGCCACCCTGAGCCAGAGGCCTGATGGTCACACTCCACATCTCCTCTGGGATCAGAAAGCTGTGTGGTTTTTATTTACTTGCTTCAATTAAATTGACTTGTATAATATCTAGCTCTGGACATAACACCAACATGCTTTTGTTAAAGGCTTCTTGAAACGTCCATGGATAATAGCCATAGCTCCTTTTCTATTTATGAGCTATGACACTTGGCTTTTGTTAACTCTTGTGACACGACATGTGAACCACTGGTCTCCAATTTTAACAGAACCAAGGACTGGGGAAATGGTCTCCTTAGTGACATGTAAGAATGTATGCAACTTAGTTTTGTGGTTACAAAACTAGAAGATTAGGACCATTCTAAATAACTCCTTCAATGTCTGAAATTC